GCATTGGTCACAAAGAGGAACCCTAGTTCGAATGGTAAGTACGATGTGTCGTGCAAACGCGAGGGCACGATGCGAAAAAACACGGCACGATCAACTCGGGAATCCCCTGAGGAGCAGCGTTTCAGAGGACGCACGGGGCGACGCGGCACTTCCAGGACACTCCAGTGCGATCTCGGTGCTCCGAGGAAGCCTCCTCCGCCTCCTCCTCCTCATCCTCTTCCTCCCTCTTCCTCCTCCTCCTCCTCCTCCTCCATCCTGCTGATCCTCCTCCTCCTCCTCCTCCTCCTCCATCCTGCTCCCCCTCCTCCTCCTCCTCCTCCTCCTCCTCCTCCGCCTCCTCCTCCTCCTCCTCCCCCTCCTCCTCCTCCAACTACGCATCCTCTTCCTCCTCCTCCTCATCATCATCACCACCGTCAGCATCAGCAACAGCAACAACAACAACAACAACAACATCATCATCATCATCATCATCATCATCATCATCATCATCAGCATCATCATCATCAGCATCATCATCATCATCATCATCATCGTCGTCATCATCAGCATCAGCATCAGCATCAGCATCAGCATCAGCATCATCACCACCACCATCATCAGCATCATCAGCCGCATCAGCATCAGCATCAGCATCAGCATCAGCCTCATCATCACGACCATCATCTGCATCAGCATCATCATCAGACGCAGCATCAATATCATCAGCATCATCATTATCATCATCATCATCAGCATCATCATCATCATCATCGTAATCAGCATCATCGCCAGCATCATCATCATCATCATCATTCAACCATCATCATCACCACCATATCATCAGTATCATCATCCTCATCATCGCCAGCATCATCATCAGTAGCATCATTATCTGCAGCAGCATCACCATCATTATCCTCATCATCCTCAGAATAGTCGTCAACATCATAATCATCGACATCAGCAACATCATCAGCAGCATCACCGTCATCCTCATCCTCATCAGTTTCATCATCCTCATCATCATCATCGGCAACATCATCGTCATCCTCACCACCATCAGCAGCATCAGCATCAACACCATCATCATCGTCATCATCACCGCCATCATCAACAGCAGCAGCATCATCAACATCGACATCAGTGTCATCATCATCAGCACCATCATCATCAGCATCAGCATCAGCATCATCATCATCATTGTCGTCATCATCATCATCATCATCATCATCATCATCACCATCCCCATCAGACTCTGCATCATCCTTATCATCAGCAGCAGCATCAGCAGCAGCATCATCGTTATCGTCATCGTCATCGTCATCGTCATCATCAGCAGCAGCATCATCATCATCATTAGCAGCATCGTCATCTTCAGCAGCATCATCAGCATGATCCTCATCATCAGCATCATCACCATCGTCAGCATCAGCAGCATCAGCATCAGCATCAGCATCAGCATCATCACGCCCATCATCTGCATCAGCATCATCAGCAGCAGCATCAACATCATCAGCATCATATTTATCATCAGCATCATCATACGTATCATCATCATCGTCATCATCAGCATAGTCAGCATCGCCATCATCATCAAACCATCATCATCATCAGCAGCATCATCGCCAGCATCATCATCAGTAGCATCGGTACCTTCAGCAGCATCATCAGCATTATCTTCATCATCATCAGAATAGTCTTCAGCATCATAATCATCGGCATCAGCAGCATCATCACCATGATCCTCATCCTCATCATCCTCATGATTTTCATCATCCTCATCATCATCGGCATCATCATCACCATCATCAGCAGCATCAGCATCAACATCATCATCATCGTCATCATCATCACCATCATCACCATCAGCATCATCACCATCGTTATCAGTGTCATCATCATCAGCACCATCATCAGCATCAGCATCAACATCATCATCATTATCGTCATCATCATCACCATCTGCATCATCAGCATCAGCAGCAGGATCATCATCAGCATCATCGTCATCATTATCGTCATCGTCATCGTCATCGTCATCACCAGCGCCATCATCATCAGCAGCATCATCATCTTCAGCAGCATCATCAGCATGATCCTCATCATCATCATCAACACCATCATCATTCTCATCATCAGCGTCAACATCATCATCATCATCATCATCATCATCATCATCATCATCATCGTCAGAATCATCATTATCAGCATTATCACCCTCATCCTCATACTTCCCATCATCCTCACCACCATCATAAACAGCATCATGAACAGCATCATCATCATCATCATCATCATCATCATCATCATCATCATCATCATCATCATCATCATCATCATCATCGTCATCAGCATCAGCATCAGCATCATCATCATCATCATCATCATCATCATCAGCAGCAGCAGCAGCAGCAGCATCATAATCCGCCGACCCCTTGTGGGTCTCCAGGAGTGTGAGATTGTTCCCCCCCCATAATCCCCCCGCAGGGACCCCAAAGGCAATTTGATCCCCCCCCCCAGGCCCGGCACGACCCCTGACAATGCGCGCCAGCGGGGGGGTCCAAAATGAGCCAGGAAGGCACTTGACGCCTCCCAAGAAGCCGCCATGACGGTCCGCGAGAACCCAAAGTCGACGAAAGATCGCATCGCTCCAAGATGCCCAAGATGAGCTCAAAACGGCCAGAGAGGCCGCCAAGACACCCCACGAAGCCTCCAAGAGGCCTCCCAAGAAGCTCCCAAGAAACCAAAATCTTGAAATTCCCTTCGGAAAACGTGCATTTTTAGCATGTCCAACTTGTTAGCCTTCACGGCGTTGAGAACCGTCCACGAGGCCCCCACGAGGCCCCCAGGACCACCCCAAGACGGCCCACGAGGCTCCCAGGAGGCCCCAAAGACAACCCAAAAGAACTCTAATGTGGCCCAAAATGCGCCCTAGACGGCCCAAGAGAGCTCCAAGACAGCCCAAAGAAAGGCCCAGAAGAGGGACCACGAACCGCTAATTCCAGCGCTCCGCCCAACGAAGCTCTCCGGAGGACCCAAGAGGCCCCCAAGCGGCCCCAAGAGGCCCCCATGAGGCATCCAAGAGGCCCCAAGGAGCCCCCAAGAGGCCCAAAAGAAGCCCCAAAACGGCCCCCAAGACCCTTCGAAACCGCCTCGAAGAGGCCCGCGAGAATCCTCGCCACGAGATCCCAACGGACATCCCAGAGCGTGCCACACACTACCCTGAGCTTGACGCATTCTTGCTACTGTTCCTCGCCCCTGCTTCGGAATTCTGCCCGAGGCCTCGTGGAATGCAGTCCTGGAGGCGCAGTAGTTTATAGCGGGGTCGGCGGATGTGGCGCAAACCTATAGAATCATCATCATCATCATCATCATCATCATCATCATCATCAGCATCATCATCAATAAATCAGCATCATCGTCTTTATCCTGATACGCATCCACATCCTTCTCCGCCTCCTCCTCCTCCGCCTCCTGAACATCATCATCATCAGCATCGCCATCGTCAATACCAGAATCGTCATCGTCATCAGCATCAGCAGCAGCATCATCATCATCGTCATCGTCATCATCATCATCATCAGCATCAGCATCACAACCATCATCATCAACATCAGCATCATCATAACCCTCATCAGCATCCTCATCATCATCATCATCAGCAGCAGCATCAGAATGCTCATCATCATCATCATCAGCATCATCAGCATCATCAGCATCATCATTATCATCATCATCATCATCATCAGCATCATCATCATCATCATCATCATCATCATCGTCATCATCATCATCATCATCGTCATCGTCATCGTCATCGTCATCATCGTCATCGTCATCGTCATCACCATCGTCATATGTTTTCCCTCCTGCGACGTCTGCTCCCACTGCTACCCCCTCAACAACAACGACGACGACGACAACGACAACGACAACGACGACAACGAAAATGCCGATGATGACGACGACAACCACCGCGATGACCTCTGACGACCACGACGACCTTCGACGACGACGACGACGACGACGACGACGACGACGACGACGACGACGGCAACGGCGACGGCGACGGCGACGGCGACCTCCGACACCAGCGCCGACGACGACGACGCACGACGACGACTGAAGGGCAACGTTTAGGGGGGGATCGGCTCAGGAGAGAGCATCGACCTGGAATCGGCGATACATCGCCGATGGATCGGCGGTGGGCCCCCGACAGCGAATCCGCATGCTCCCGGTCGGGGTGGGCTCTCGGGCCCTTCGTCAGCGAGGAATGCAAGGAACCGAACTGCATACACCGACGCTTTTTTTTCCGGTCCCGCACTGAGATCCGCACAACAAAACGGATTCTGGTATACGGCATCCTGGTGTATACATGTTTTGGTTGCTTCCACGCGAAAAAACGGGGAAAAAAGTGTACACCACACCACCCCGACGTCGTCCCCGACCCTCAAAAAATCCTGGGATGAAAAGCAGCCCGCCACTGGTAATGTATACGTTCCAGTTTCCGACGACTGGGCGTCGAGGCATCCTCCCCTGAGCCTATCCCCCTATGGCGTTGCCCCTTGGCTTTCGGGCCATAACTCGGGTCTCGGGCGGCCCTTCGGGACGATCTGAGCGCCCCGGGGACGCTCTCGGCGAGGCGCCGCGGCTAGAAAAAGCAGCGCAGGGCCTGAAAAAACCTCCGGGAGCCGACGAAAACGCCCGAAAGCTTCTGCAAACATCTCCCTCGAGCCTGCTCCCCCCCTTCTTACATGCTCATTCTGGGGACCTTCCTGGAGCCACGCGCTCCACTCGTGTGTCGAAGCTGCGTCGAAGCTGAGTCGAATCTGAGTCGAATCTGAGACGAACCTCAGTCGAACTTGAGTCGAACCTGAGTCGAACAGATCCGTTGGGTGGGCCCCAGGAAGGTCCCCAAAACGAGCATCGAACCCTTCCGTCGCCCCTAGCGAAAACGATGCACGACGACGACATCGACAGCGACGACGGCGGCGCCCGCGACGACGAAGGGCGGCGCACGCCTGGATGTACGCTGCGGGCTTGCCGCCCTCGAC